AGGAGGTGCTTCTCCACCCAGCATTTTCATAACCAAAAGTTCCAGCCAGAAACTCCAACATTAATGTCTTGGGCAGTAATTCATTTACAATTTTGAGACAGATTCAGTTTTTTTAAAACAAGTATGATTCTTGGTATTGAAATAAAATTAGATTTGAGAGTAAGAAGGAGGCTGACAGCAAAGTACAAAGCAAATCACTTTAAAAACTTTTTTTTTTTTTTTTTTTTTAACAAATGCAACCTTATACAGCTTTCTAAAGAAATTGCCTCAAAGTTGAGCGCTTGATTCGGAGAGGAGGGAATATTTTCCACCCACTCCGTTCCAAACAAACCTACCTGGAAAATGTCGCTGGCACATTTCCTACACAGGTTATGCTGGCAGGGGAGAATGACCACGGGTTTCGTGAACATCTCTAAACAGATGGGACAGATGAGTTGCTTCTCCAAGTTATCCATGGTCTGCTGCTCTTTGGAAAAGGACTTGTAATTCAAAGATGCGCTCATCTCCTGGCCGTCCCTGTGTGCTCTGCCAGGGAAAGGGTGCTTCGAATGGTTTCTGCAAGTGATTCCTGGAAATAATTCCAAGGATTGTGTGATCAAGTGTCCTTTACGTTTCTTTCCGTGGAGGACATTGTTTCAGGCCCAGGTTCAGAGTGGGGCTGGAGCTGTTTTTAGCAGCCGAGGGTCACATGACAGCAGACAGACTTGTCCGTATAAGCCAGTGACAGGAGGATGGATTCTGACAGGTGACAGAGAACAGAGGCCAACATTTCCACCCCAGGGAGTGAAGAGAGTGGGTGGGAAGGAGGATTACAAACCCCATTTAGACGGGGTTGTGAGGAGAGGGAGGTGAAGCTGACAGTTGTCAACAACAAATGCAAATGTTGGTGCCCAGTCGCTGAGCTATGCCCCCTGTGAGCAATCAGCAAGGGCTTGGTGACGGGCTTCTCCAGGACCAGGGAGAACATACTCCAAGAGTCTCACAGTATAACGAATGCCATTTCTGTCTTGAGAATTTAGGAAGCAAGTAACCAAAAGTAGCACGATCATACTATCCTGGGTGAAAACAAACAAAGCGTGTCTGCTTGGCATATCATTATCCTGGCTTCACAAGGGTAATCAACTAAAAAGGCTTGCTTAGTGTTAAATATTTCATCTTTGTGAGGGTTGTGAAATGGGAAAAATTTCAACTTAAAGACTGATTTCAAACCTTTTCACCATAAAAGTATCCACAAAATTTTTAAAAACTGCAAACACCAGTTGATACAATTTTTTTTTTTAAAGTTATATAATAAAGCTCTAGTATGCTCTTTTCTCTCTCTTTTTCCTAATCCTCCTTCATCATATACAACACCACCCCTACACACACCTAGAAACACAAAGAAAATTTGGCAATCTTTAAAAATTTTAGTTTGCACCAACAATCAGTAATGAGGTAGTAACTGGCACATGGGGTGGCAGACCCGTTATTTTATTTTGCCATATAGTGGGGGACAAATATCAGTGCCATCTTCAGTGGAAGTGAAAATGGAACCCTGCTTCCACACCTGGGTTTTATCTGGTCTGAAATATCTATCCCCCTCTGCATTTGTCTGCACTTACCAAGTTGATTTTTTTTTTTTTTTTTTTTTTTTTGCGGTATGCGGGCCTCTCACTGTTGTGGCCTCTCTCGTTGCGGAGCACAGGCTCCAGACGCGC